GCTGACTGGCATAAAAAAAGGAAAAAGGAAGAGCAATACGTAAATAAAAAAGCATTGAAACCATGAAGAATGCTCAAGCTGATAACGGTGATGAAGGTCAGGGATAAAAAGGAAAAAAAAAAAGACAAACAGGAGAATGACACATGATATTTGTGGCACAAATAAAAGATAAGCATCTTAATTAACAAAGAAAATTTCTGTATTAGTAAATATATAATCACCTCATAGAAATACACTTTGAACTATCTCAAAATATATTCTCTATAAGGTAAAATACCATTATTTCCAGTGATAAAGTTTAATTATAGATCTACCCACATATTGGTCATACAGTTTTAAAGATTACAATTTGATTAGTTTCCTCTTCCCACTCCCATTTTTTTTTCATTTAGTTTTCATAAAATGCAATGCTTTGCAACATCAAATAATTATATGATTTTTTTTGTAGGGATTAACTTTTAAATCAAAACATGCACTTGTTAACATGCTTCCTGACGATATAAAGATTTGGGCTATATCTATATAATATGTAAAAAATCATTTCACTGGGAAATAAGCTAGGTAAACTAATTTCACATAAACAAAATTGTTTTGACAAAGCTTTTCACTTTGTAGGAGGTTTCTTTGGTATTATTAAAAACATTAGGCTTTATTTAGAACCGTCAAGGAAAAATTTGACATTTTTCTGAACTAATATGGACAGCTATTCAAATAACTTATCTTATTTGATTTAACTTATTTGAATTATCATTTCAAATGAAGTTCAATAAATAGCATTTTTTGTCCTTAATTATTTGGATTGATCATCAGCATTGATCAAATTTTATTTGTTATGATGTTTACTATTTATTCGATATTATGTTTGGTTCCATGTATCAAGGTATTCTGTATTCTTGGGCAAAACAAAAACAAAACATTCAGTTTTAAAATAATTAAAAATAGAGTTAAAAACAATTCTAGCAGCAAAGTTAGTAGATTATAAGCACCCTCTGATAAACTGTACTCTCTACCTGGCTTTTCTTCACTGTCCCCATTGTGACAGTACACTTAAGTTTCATCTGAAACATTTGTGTTTTATTTATGGTCCACTGAGAAAATAAATTCTCCCAGGAGTAAAGGGCACACTAGTGTGATGCCATTGAGAGATGTGAACCACCATAATATGTATTTAATGAATTACCATTACAGGGAGGAATCACAGCTACTTAAAATGCAGATTTGCCAACACTAACATGAGAAAACAAAATATACTTGACCGCTTATACTCATTCTTAGTCTATATTCTCCCCTTCAGTCCGAGGAGAACATGGAGAGGGTAAACAATATTTCTCCTGAGGATCTTAGACAGAAAGATCAACCAAGGAGACACTGTGGTACCATAATATATACTGCCAGAGCAGCTGAATTACTGGGCCCTGCCCTGTGTGCAGGAGGCTTCAGTCTCGCTAACGGGGCAGGGAGCACCTCTGTTAAGCAATTATTCCTTAACAGCTGACAGGACCATGCCTCAATGTAGAATTTCTCAGGCAATTAAATATTAACTTTAACTTTATAAATATACATTTCGAAGTGATGTATAAAGAGACTAAATGACCAGCCTTGGTGTGTATTAACGCAAGTACACACTTTCGTCCCCTCAGGTTTCATGAATGCTTAGGACACAATTTATCCATCTCAGTGGAGATCAGAAGACTGTTCTGTCTGAGGTTGATGCGCTCCAAAATGGGGGTATCTTGAAAAGTCAGAGAAGAGCAAATGGTTCTTCCTGTCCACTTTGGCCTCAAAACTTGATAGCTCTCACACCAAAAAAAAAATCTAACCAGGAATCCTCCAAGTCACAGCTCATCATTTTTAGTTTTGTATTGGACTGCTAATAAACCTTTCGTTCTTGAAAACTAATCAGTTTCTTAGGGAAGCAGAATATATGTATATATTGTGTTTTCAAGTCCCCATATCATCCTTCCTTGGAACAATAGTTTACGCCAAGGGGGTATATAAGCGTTTCTCATTGATAAAATAGTGATGTCTTCACTTCTCCAACTCTTTTAAACCCATTTCCTTTTCTACTCTTGTCATTCAAATCTTTCAAAGACTCTGAAATGTTTAATTCCTCATGCCCCAAAACTATTAGCAGCTTATAGATAATAATAATCACTCTTATTTGACCTATAACACATATACACTCTATATATCACTATGTTTATGACACATACACACACATGGTTTCACTATCACATAGTGAATATTCTGATTTTATTTATAGCAAGTCTCATTAACTATGAACTATTTTAAAATTTGATAAATTATAAGAGCGAAATAGTAAACATTGGTAATTTATTTTCCTTGGTAAAGATGGCCTGAATTAGCATGAAGCACAAATATGTGTACATAGCCATATTAAAAATAGTTTTCCCTACTTGAAGGTATTCTGACACAAACTGCTAGTAACTGTTGAGCCACTGAAGTTATAATGCATTTCCGAAATGTTATAATCATCAAACCTAAATACACCTCTAATTAAAATAAATCCTGCCATGAGTGTGCAGATCAAAAGGAAAGTGCTCTTAATATATTGTTGTTCAATTTGGGCCTCCACCTCTTCTGCAAAAATCTCCCAGAAATACTGCAAAGCCATTAGTGTCTGCTACATGCTAAAGCTTCTAGTTTAACACCAGTAGTCTGTGTAAAATCCTAGATTATAAATCACTGTTGTGACCTATGCCCAGGAATCCAGCTAGTCATATTGTTTATGACAATTGGAGGAAGGGATACTGAGCAACATCTTTAAGGTTGACTGAACAAAAAATATAAATAATATTTCCAAAACAATGAGTGAAAATTTTCAGCATGTCTCTATTCGACATATAGAAAAACAGAGAGAATTATCATTTCAAATGAAGTTCACAAAGGTGCCTACCTCTAATTATTATCAGGCTCCATAAAGGCTGCAGGAAAAGCACTTTGAACAATCTGAAGTACTTTTAAAAAATATATGATGTTATTATTGCTATTTTTTGCTTTAAATACTGCAAGCCTAACCCTTCTTTTCCAGTTTTAATATTTCTGTGCCTTTGTTTTCCCAGTCATATCCCTGAATTTCGGTGTTAATTTCTTCTTAAAATGTTTATGTACCACAGCTATATAATCCTATTGTCATTTTTATTATTACATTATATTGATAAGTCAGTCTATTTCTTTCTTCTATTGAATCCTATACTTGGATTTTACAAATGAGATCATTCAGCATAGTCTCTGCAGGACTGACACCTGGTGTCTTTGCCATTAAATTTCTGTAAGCTTATCAAAAAATGATTTTTGATAGCAGTAAGAAACCAAGAAACTCTATAATTTCCTAAAGTTGTTTTCCATATGGCAAAATGTGGAAATTTTTAGCTTTCACTTGAAAGTTCATCCTCTTTTTCTGCTCCTTTTGTTTTTTCTCTTCTCCTCTCCCTCATCTTGTAATCCTCAATTCTCTTTTATTCTTCTCTTTCCCCCACCTCTTTTCACGACTTACCCTTCTATCTTCTCTTTGACACATTCTCTCCTTGCACCATTTCTTTTCTTTGTATTATTAGAAGGCTGCTGAATTTTCTTATATATGTAACCTAAACAAAAGGTGCTCTTTGTGAGAACTTTTACAATCATAAAAAAAAAAAAAATCCCCATGTAGTGTTTATGTGAGTAGGATGTATATGTAGGTGCAGGGCAAAGTTAACTTATTACCTTGGCCATTGAGATGCTCTGGGGGGTCAAAGATAGACTGAAATATGGGGCAGAAAGACAAATGAAATAATTTTAATGCGAAACAGAAATTAAATAGGTAAAAAGAAAAGGAGTGTATCTTACACTTTCTTTGCGACAATTCATAGCATCAAAAATAAAGAGTTTCACCTGGACTTTCCAGTATATATATCTTGTCTCAACAACGAGATGTAAACTAATAGAGGCAAGGTTCCAAATATTAAACTTCTCTATATCTTTTAAGACATAGCACAGCTCTTTATTTATACATCGGGCACTTTAAGGGGGTTTGAGTGAAATATATAAATCATTATGAAATTGGTGAGCAACCCCAAAAGATTGACTAAAATTGCTTGATATTATTGCAATCTAAGAAGTTAAGCAATGCATATGAATATGAATACACACACAGATACATTGACATACAACACATACACATACACCTCAAAAAGAAAAAATTATATGAAAACATGAAACCAGAGATATATACAAATACACAAGAGAAAATTATATAAAAATATATACATGTAGAAAAATTAATTCATTAATTTGCAATCTTAGTAGGTAACTTAAAAATAATCATGAATATCTTCATTAGTTTCCAAAACCTAAGTTTCCAGAAATGCATTATAGTGAATAAGCAACTGTGAGTAGCTGTACAATTAATATTGATAGTGAGACATTGACTTATGTGTACTTGGGTAGGTCATGTTATCTGACCTATGCTTCTGTGTCTCTGAAGTGACTACTTATTTGCCTTCTCATCCGCCTCCTCTGCAAAGATGCTCTGCAAATAAATGAGGTAATGTTTGCAGCTTGGGAAAGAAACCTATTTCATACTCTCAGATATTATTACTATTCCATGTTCAAGCTTGGTATATTATTGATTCTGTTTTAAATTTAAATTGTACTGTTCAAGTCCTTGGGTTCTGACCAAAATATGGGTCAACATAAGAGGATGATTATTTTTTATTTTAATTCTGAGGCTCTGTTCGGATCCCTTGCACGTGTGAGGTAAAACTGAGGAAAATAAACAAAGCACATAAATCAAGCTTTGAAAGAAAAATATCAGGAAGAATTTTTTTTTTTTCAATGAAGAGCGTGAACACTGTATTTCCCTGGAGGAATATTTCGGTCCAGGAAGAATAGTGCATGCAGTGTGAGTGTGTATGTGCGTGTGTGTGCGTGTGTGTGTGTGAGTGTGTGCTGGGCGTGCGCGCCCGCGGAGAGGGGCGGGGGAGGCGGATGAGGAGGATGAGATCATAGTTTCAGGATCCTCAGGAAACCCTGGTACTGGCAGCAGCCAGCCTCTGCTGTGCCCACATGACCCACAACTCTGGCAGCGGACCCGGCACTTCTAACATTATTAAATAATAAGAAAGCAGCTCCTACTCCATGCCCGAACCTCCCTACAGACCAATGGACACCTTCTAAGAGTTTGGCGAGTCGGTGACTGAGGCGCCCGTCCATTCCAAGGTGTGTGCAAGGCGTTTTCCTCTTGACATCTCCGGAGTGGGGGAGGGCACGGGGATGGAGGGGGTCGGGGTGACCAGCGAGAAGTGGGTGCCGGACCCGGCCGCTGCGCGCTGCCCCGGCCG